GCCAAGTTGAGGACCCCTGCTCTAGAGTAGTGTTTTTCAAACTTGGCAATTTTTAGATGTGTGGACTTCAACTCCCAGAATTCCTCCAGCTGGAGGCGTTAAAGAAGGAAATCCAAATCTCCAGCTGGTATTTTAACTAGGCTTGCTCTGCTATTGAAATATGGTGAGTCATCTATATCTGTCATCCATGAATTGCCTCCATGACTTGCATTCAGGAGAAATCTAGCTGTTCTGAGAAGATACAGGGGATGGCACGACCAATAGGACCTCAATAGAAGAATCCACAAAGGTAGCAATCCTGCTCAGTTTCTTGTAAACCAGACATGGGCATTTTACGCACCCCTCTGGCCACATCTGGCCCTTTGGCTGTCCCTGTCCAGCCTGTGTGAGGTCAATCAGAAATTAGAAAGCAAATGTAAATCAGTCTGCGCCATATATGCAACACAACTGCATTGCATTCATTTTGAAGGCGACGGCTTTATTTTTCAATTTGCATGCGCGTGTCCCTGTGCACCTTCGCAAGCCTATTCCAAGTTCGGCAGGTGGTGTTAGGGTCAAAGAGCATACCGGGAAACCCTTTTACTTGACGGGTAGGGACTTACGAAGGGAAAAGACATTTGACAAACTTGTTATAGCCTCGGACCGAAAGGAGTCCAGGTTAGACTCCAGGGGTGAAGGTGCGCACGGGGCAGAGAGGACGTCTTGGTTCTCAGACTTGCTGGATTTGCAAGCCTTTCTGTTGGCAAAGGCACAGCATCCGAAAACTGCTTTCAGGACTGGCCAATGAAAACAAGCCCCAAATTGCTGAGCAAAGGATTCTGTGGCCAAGATCGGCTTACATTCCCTTGTCGGAAGGAAATGAGAGGCCCCTTTCTCTGGTGCATACATACCAAAGAGAATGTGGATTTTGCTTGCTTTTAAGAAGCCATCAATATTATGACATAACACACCCTCCTCCCAAAAAAGACTTCACCACCTTGAACCTTCAGATGTTAAAGCCTACAATCACCAGTAGAGCAACTAAGATAATGAAAGGCCTGGAGACTAAAACATAGGAAGAAGGGTTGCAGGAATTGGGTATGGTCAGTCTAGAGAAAAGAAGTTCTAGGGGTGACGTGATAGCAGGGTTCCAGTATTTGAGGGGCTGCCACAAAGAAGAAGGGGTCAACTTATTTTCCAAAGCACCGGAAGGCAAGACAAAGAACAATGGATGGAAACTAATCAAGGAGAGAAGCAACCTGGAACTAAAGAGAAACTTTCTAACACTGAGAAAAATCAACCAGTGGCATGGCTTGCCTTCAGAAGTTGTGGGGGCTCCATCACTGGAGGCTTTTAAGAAGAGATTGGACAGCCCCTTGTCTGAAATAGTATCTCCTGCTTGAGCAGGGGGTTGGACTAGAAGACCTCCAAGGTCCCTTCCAACTTTGTTTATTTGCCAGGGTTTATTTGCAATGAAGCAGAGTCCACTTGAGTAGACTGCCATAATTCAAAGCAATCCAGAGTGGATAGCCATTACTTCCTTCCCCAGACTCACTTACTTATACTTTGATTCTCTGTCTGCCTATCTCTATACTCCAGCATGACCTATCTGAGCAGGCTTCTCCTAATTTTAGTCCCCACTCCGTTACAGTTGGACCTGCCACCTGAGTGCAAATGTTCTGCTTTCTTTGTTCCCAAAGACTTCCTTCCTCAGAATCCTCAAAAGCGGATTGCCTGCTTCTCTTGCAAAATCTCTTGTTTTAATTGTTCAATAATACACGTTCCCCCCCCACCATAAGCCAGCCTTGTTTTCAAAGCAATAAAGAGAGGCAGCCCACCCCTTTTCCCACTCCCTCGTCGTCAATATTGCAAGTGCTAGACATTGTCAATATTGCAAGTGCTAGACAAAGCGTGGTTTTATTGGGACATCCAAGGATGGGCTGGGTGAGGAAGACTTTGACCTCCAAACAGAATTAGAGCAGAAGGCCCAGCTCAGTAGCCCTGCCGCCTTGCCTTTGTGTCTTGCACTTTCATTGAACTCCGACTTTGATTGAGGTGGGCAGATAAATGGGGAGACAATAATCCAGAGATTTCATACCAGCTCTGGAGAAGGGAAGACAATTACCATGACAACATGGCTAAAAAAAAGGGGGAAATGGGGCACCAATTTTACTCTGGTGAGAGAAACATACTCTTGCAGGAGAGGGGCGGGGGTACAAATTTAGATTTTCGCCAGTTGGTTGCCCTGATGCGTGGCCCAAAAGAGTAAGTCCTTTTGATTTTCTCCGGGACAAAGTTACAGGCTTACAGTGGCGTAACTGAGATCAGGATATGGTTGATAGCTCTCCAAAGACAACAACATCCGGGCAGATGGTCTTTGCATTTGGATTCAGAGGCCAAGAAGCCAAAGGACTTTGTAAACCTTTGATTACTGACCGATGCATTCGTTTGGGGAGTCACAAAGGTACAAAAACTCAGCATGGGACAATTCTTGTCATTTTCTCATCATTTGCTCTTCTGGGCAATTTTCTTCTCTTGGCTGTTGGCCAACACCTCTAGCCTTGTTAACTTTTGTGTTGTAGTAAAACACCTGCAGCTCATTCCGTGTGAAAGCGAGAGAGGGAGAGGGATGGGGAAGGGGAAGGGAAATCTGCCATGGGTTGGAGACAAGGATCCCATTTATTCTTTTGTTGTTCCAATTTACAAATGTAGAAAGGACGATGGAGGATCCTTTGCCTTGATCTGACAGAATGGGCTGCAAAATGGAGAAGCTTGAAACACACCCTACAAACACTTTTAGGAGTGCTTGTACATTCTGTGTGTGCAGGTGTGAAAGTATAGGTATTTTAGGCAGTAGATACAGATAGAAATATATCAGGAGAGTGACCGATTCAATATTTCAAATTCAGAGGAAGCCTGGTAGAACATCAACTTCAAGCTTGGAAAAAAGTAAGTGTCTATGTCTCACTCCCTTAGATTGGAAGATCTTCACCATTGGTCTAGACCAGGGGTAGACAATCTTGGCTCTTTTATGACTCGTGGACTTCAACTCCCAGAATTCCTGAGCCAGCCATGCCTACCCCTGGTCTAGACCAGTGATGGCGAATCTTTTAGAGACCGAGTGCCCAAACTGCAACCCAAAACCCACTTATGTATCGTCAGGTGCCGGGTGGGCGTGGCCCATTGGGTGGGTGTGGCCCATTGGGTAGGCTTGGCCAATTGGGTGGGCATGGCCCATTGGGTGGGCGTGGTTGCGGTGGTAACGGCAGACTGGGTGGGACTAAAAAGTTCAATCAATCAATTCCAACTTTGCGAGAAGTTGAAATTGATTGATTGAACTTTTTTTTCTTTTTTTGCACACGGCCGTGGAGGCCTAAAGCGAAAAGGTTTTATAAAACCCAGCTGAAGGCCTAGGACTGGGGCGACGGCACGTGTGCCCACAGAAAGGGCTCTGAGTGCCACCTCTGGCACGCATGCCATAGGTTTGCCACCACGAGTCTAGACTCTAGGCCATTTTTAAATGTGTGGACTTCAACTCTCAGAATTCCCCACTCACACATGTTAAAGTGGCCAAATTTAAAAAGTGCTAACCTAGCCGGATCTAAACATTAATCCCTTTGCTTTTGGTCCTTGCTTGTTCCTGATTTGGTGACTCCTTGTGTTCACTGCAATTCAGCATCCCATTTCCACTCTGTCATTGTACCTTGATAAATACGCATCATGGACTTTTTCATCACTATGTTCTATTTTATAAAAAAAATAGTTTTATTTTTTTTCTAGAAAATAGAAAAAAAAACTATTTGGAAAATTTTCTATTTTATGAAAGCACTATTTGCATGTTGTCCCGGTCCTCTCACCCCATAAAAAAGTTCATACATAGCACTTTTTAGGAATTTCTGCAATTAAAATAAAGAGAGGAGCGGGGCTAAGCCACAAGGACATTGAACATTGCCATCTACTGGATGGAGGTTGTATATACAATCATTACAATTTTTTTTCTCCAGCTTAATGTCTTCCAAATGTTTTGATATATGACTCCTGGAGTTGAAATACAATGGAGCAACAGTTTATGCACCAAGGTACCTCAAATAGGTTAAATTACAGAATGCATCCAAAATCTTAGACCTATGATTCCCAAGGGAATGATATTTGGGAAAGTTGTGGCTACTTCAGTGCTATTCAGTGCTGCATAGCTGGGCTGCTGCTGTCATTTTCTGTGACAGTTTCCCAGTCACTCTCACAATCCCTTGCTCCCTCTCCCATCCAGCAACAGCCACTTTCCTGCCTTCTGGGAAGGGAAGGGAATTAAAGAGCATAAAAGATTGGAACTGATTGGCTCGTAGAGGACAAGGGATGTAGAAATCAGGTTACATTCATTCTATGTAAGTATTAATCATGAATCCATCGGTTTCATGTTATTCAACACGTGAAGATTGCCAATATCTCCACTTTTGTTTGATTTGCAGTTTTCCTGACCTAAGGAAATTTAACTTCATCTTGCACACAACAAACATACACATTTTATGCCCTAACCTACCAAAGTTTGCATTTTTTTGCATCAGATGTGGAAAACCATCTCCTTTTGCATATTCCAATCTACTCTGTGTGCCATTGTTGACCCAAGACAACCTGTACAACAGGCTCGAGAGCCATGCAATGCTTTATAGGTGCCCAACCTTGACAAAGATGTCTACAAAGAATGTCTTTGAAACAACTTCACAAAATGTTGCCCATAGACTGTGACTCTATAGAATGGAGGAGGGTAACCACAACTTTCGCCTGTGCAGATGAGCTAGTATGCATGACCAGAAGTCCATTTCTAGTGAACTGAAGAGATAGAAGAACTGTTTCAAGAGTCTAATCAAAGAAAAGTGCCTTGCGCCCTCCAGGAGAGAGCATTTCACTGGACCTCATTCATGTCAAGATGAATGCCATTTTGGCACCTCATTTCATACTGCTGGAAGAGAAATCTATGCCACGTTACGGCAAATCCTTCATAACAATATCTCTAGACTACTTACATGTGCTCTAGAAAGCTGGAAACCGGTTGTGAGGGGATGACTGTCTTGACTGGGCTCTAGGAAAGTAGGACATCTTTTTGCATGTTTCCATCCCAGGTCTGTTGCGCAACATCTAAGAATGGAACAGAGGGACAGGTGTGTTATAATCTTCTCCAACAAAATAGTCCTGCAGCCTGTTAAGGATTAAGAGGGTTATTGTCTGCAAAAAGAAAAAGAAAAAAGAAACCACCCAAAATATTTTCTCCTCAAAATGAGCGAGTTAGAACTCACCAGAAAATTCAACTCCATTTCTCACAGGTTCAACAGAGACCTGGCTGTCTTCACACACAGCATACATTCTGCAACTTTTTATGTCACTTCTGCTTCCTCCTCCTCCTCCATTGCTCCAATTCCTACCATCTTTTAAAAACCCCTGAAGAACTGGCTCCCCCCCCCCAGGCCCTGAGATGAGGTGTTGTTTTTAATGGAGAGTTGTAAACTGGGCCTGATATTATTTCAGCGGCGTTCATGAAGCAAACATGGCAGTTATGAAATGAAGGCCACAGTCATTAAGCATATGCTGCAGTCGTTAAGTAAAGCTATTGCTTGCTTGGGGCAGGTTTTGCCCAAAAGCAGGAAGTAAATGCTCTTCGTAAGCAGCATTTGGAAGAACCTGTTGTAACTTTGAATGGACACTAAGCAACTGGTGGAAAGTTGAGGACTACCTATATAATACTCTTTTTTTCTGTACTGATAAAAGAGAATATTTGTACCAATAAAGGAGAATATTTGTAGCTCAGGATTGAAGTCTGAGATCCTTGGTGCTCTCTGAGCTTGGTGGTTTGACAGCACTCATAAACATCAAGAGCACTGATGATGTTGCTACGTTTGGTAATGAAAGGTCTGCAAGAAAACCACCCAGCTCGGAGAGCACCAACGACCTCACTATCTTCTGTTTTTTTTCTGACAAAATGGACTGTGATCCATGAAAGCTTGTGCAAGAAAACTGGCACAGGCAGTCCTCAACGTACGACCACAACTGAGCCCAAACTTGATGTTGTTAAGTGAGAAATTTGTTGAGTGAGTTTTGCCCTGATTTTACAACTTTTCTTGTCACATTTGTTAAGTGAATCACTGCAGTTGTGAAGTTAGCAACACGGTTGTTAAGTGAGTCCAGCTTTCCCATTGACTTCGCTTGTCAGAAGGTCGCAAAAGGGGATCTCGTGACCTCCGAGACACGGCGACCGTCGTAAAGGCGAAGCATCTGAATGTAGATCACGTGACCCTGGGGATGCTTCAATGGTCCTAAGTGAGAAAAATGGTCCTAAGTTGCTTTTTTCAGTGCCGTTGTAACTTTGAACGGTCACTAAATGAATCGTTGTAAGTTGAGGACTACCTGTGTAGCCTTTAAGGTATCACTAGACCCTTTATTATTTTTTTCCCTTAAAACTGGTAAAGATTCCTCTACGCCCAACGCTGCAACTGGAGACCAACTTTACGGGAGACCCCTGATAATTTTATACATTCTAAAAGAGGAACTTTATATATCAGCCACGCTGGGTATTAAAACGGCCTCACGACTGAACAGAAAACAGCACATCCCATTTGTTGCCATTTCAGCTACTTTAATCAATGTTCCCAGGGAATTCCTTCTGGGAATCTCATCTCATCTGGGACTGAGAATGTAAAAGTAATCATCAAAGCTTTAGAATAATTACAACAAATGAAAGCAAACGCATACGATGCTCTTTTTCGAGATATTCCCCACGGTCAATGTATTAAGACAGCTGTAGACCTCGGCTAGTCTGAATTAGAAGAGAGATCCTACATAAGCTTTGGAGGTGTGTGGAGGTTCCTTCGCCCTGCCAAGTGAATATCCAGGTGGCCAGTATTTGGACTGGAGATTATATGAGAGCACAGAACAATCTGACTCTTTATGCGTTATGAAAGGAAGGAGAATGTTAGAAAAATAATAAAGGCAATTTGATCACCTCCCCCAGAATGACATCCTCCATACATTTTGCCTAATTCTGACCCAGGACTAGTTGAGCATGATCCCAAATGGATTGAGATCCAATGGTTCTCTTCATCACAGAGGATATAAAAAAATCACCTGGAACAAAAATTCAGAGGTTTTTTTTCCTGACTTTTTCCTGACATATTTGAAATCTTCCAAGATACGGTTGGTTAGATGCAGTATAGTTTTGCTACTAGACCTTGAAATTCTTTATTAAGCCTATGGCATATCATACACGGACTTGCAATACATTTTAACATTTCCCCAAGATTAAAAACACAATAAAATATCACTGTTAAAATAATCTACATTAAAAAAAACCAGGCACTTATTACCATCTTTGGTAGACACATCCCAAAGCCAAAGGATTCTGTTCAAGAATACACACATGGTTAGAGAAAATGACTAAAAAACATAGATTTTAAGCCAGAACTATTTTTATTAGGCATAATTGTAGGAAATTATGAGAAAGAGTGTATATATCTAATGTTACATATATTAACTGGAGCGAAAATTGTATTCGCTCAACATTGGAAAAATGAAGATTTACCAACGGAGGAAGTGTTAATTAAAAAAAAATTAGATTGTGCAGAAATGGATAGATTGACATTGAAAATGAAAGAGAAAGAAGATTCAGCATATTTTAGAACATGCAACACCTTTTATCAATGGCTAGAAAAACGAGGTAGAGAGAAAGGAATTTAACACGTATTAGTAAGTTAAATGTTGGAACCCAGACAATATGTTGCTGATAAAATATTAAGCACTTGTGATTATAAAAAACAAATCAAAATTATATATATATAAAAATAATCTATGTTCAGATACCAGTGTCTAGGCCATCTAACCATTGAAGCACAGCATTGTTTATATGAAAAAAATCAAATACAGGACCAGAATATGCTCCCAACTTACAGCCAATCATGACGTGATCTACTGTTTGACGTGGGACCCCACAGTCACACTGAGGGGTGGATACTATGACCCATTTATATAGGGAGACCTGGCAGAAGCCGAGGGAAAACAAAATCTTGAAATCAATAAATGATCCCAAAAAAATCCTCTGATATTCCTATCACTACTTCCTAAGGCTTTCGATGTTGTTGAAAACTGGCTGGCTATAACGATCTACATAGTTTATGGAAATAGTCACGTACCGGCTCCACTAACTAAAGCAGGGGTCTTCAAACTTGGCCCTTTTATGACTTGTGGACTTCAACTCCCAGAATTCCTCAGCCAGACCCGCTGGCTGAGGAATTCTGGGAGTTGAAGTCCACAAGTCATAAAAGGGCCAAGTTTGAAGACCCCTGAACTAAAGTCTACTGAAGTCTTCATTTGTACCTATGGACAATGGAGAGAAAAGTCTGTTCGTTTGACTGTCTGTTTGCCATTGCCTTCTTTCTAGAGCTGAGACAGAAAGTGATTGGCACAAGCAGGACTAGAACTCCCAGTCTCCCGTTTTTTAGCCTGCTCCCTTAACCCTAACCCTGCCCCAGTCCGACTCTTGCAAACAAGTGTTGCCCAAAGGAATGATTAAGACAAGTGCCATTTCTTCCATCGGAAGATCAAATGGCCAATCCTTTCTCCTCTTACACTCATAGTTGTTCTAACAAACTGATGGAAGGAAGCAGCTACGCTCCTCTTCATCGCTTATTAATTTCCTAACTGGGTGGAAATGGCACAATTCCCCTTGGAGATCCAGGCCAGCTCAAAATATTGAGGAAGCTACTCAGGCATTTTCCAGTGTGACTTAGAGCTGAGGACACTGGAAGGGAAGGATAATGGGGTGTTTGTGGGGGACATAGAGGAGGTATTTTCTGCTGTTGCTAAGACAGATTTCCTTTTTTCCCCCCCAGCTCATGGCCCCCTCCGCTTCCGTACCATCCAATCCTGGCACTTCTTCTCTCCATTGGTTCCACTGTCGCATCGAATGATTGTGACAGCTTTGCGTTCTCCTCACTTATTGGCTTAGTCCGATGGCCTATTATCGAGGGAAGCAAATCGGATGCTTAATCAATACTTGGCAAAGGCTGCCAGAGGCTACATTAGCATCACACCACTGGCTGTCTGGGTGTCTGCCTTTGAGATAAGAATCAAAGGAGCTCGTGACATGATGGAGCACCTGGCTAATTCCATTTCGGTTGTGGAGGAAGGAACACCACCGATGCACACAGAGCTCCCTTTCCTACAGAGTCATTTCGAAGGAACCATTTGTGACTGTTGGTCTTCTAGGAGCATCTTCCAGGTCCCTCACTGCTCCCTGATGTGTTGCACCTAAGAGGAACATCCAAATCTATCTCCTTCACCTGTTTGGAAAGATCTAGATGGCTATGAAAGGAGATGTTGGACCTCTGTGCTGGAAGCTTCACTACGGCCAACATTTGATGAAAAGCAGCTTTCTTAAAACATGGGGACCTGGTCCACAGTTCAGAGTCGCTGTAGAGCTGGGTGGCCTTATGAAACAAACACACACAAAAAATTACCTTTCTGCTTCAAAAAAAAGTTAGTGTAAGATAGAGATTAAACATTTCATCTGGGAGGGAAAGTTCAGATTCAGATCTCCATCCAACCATAAAGCCAGGGTGGACTTTAGACTAGTCAAATTAAACTAACCCACCAAGATTGTCATGGAGGAAGCTCTAAATGCAACCCATAACTACAAAAGGGAAGAAGACATGGATTCTATTTCTTGGTTCTTCCAAACCCAGTTTGGTCACCACTCTTTTTTTCTTGCCCACTTTGGGGAATCGGGTGCATCTCATCTAGATGATTAGAGGAACCAATAAAGTTCAGGAGCGACCAAAGAGGGGAACTCATGGATGACAAAGCTCTTTTCCCCCAGAGTATTCTCCAAATTGTGACTTACTTTTCAACACCGGCCACTCTCCAATTTATTCAAGGGAATTTATTGAATAAGTTAGGTGACATGGGTGATAGAGAAATGTGATGAATTAATTAATTAATTAAGGTATACTAAAGCTGTGTTAATAGCTACTCGTCTTGATAACCATAACTAGCATGAAAACACCTTGCTACTAGGATGTGTTTGAATGGACTCCATGCAATGCAAAAGATGGATTATATAAGTCTTTAGCCAATTCTACAAATTCTTCTTCTT